TGCATGCCTGAAACTCAAACAATTTGCAACAATCAAAAAAAGGGTACATACCTTCTTGTAGAGCAGATAATTTCCTATCGAATGGTATATGAAACATTGTAAAACATTAGAGGTTCACAAGAAAAATTTCCGTTTGAAAAAATGCGCCACTACTTATGAGACAACCTAATATTATAGGTTTATACTGTCACTCGGTCTGAGAGGCGCGCACAGAAAGCATGGAGATGTCTTTAGATATCTACCTGTCGCTCTTTGAAGGCTTCTGACTTCCCTTATGAAACCGCATAATCACGTGTCGATAAGGTGAGCGAAACCCTTCAACAGTTCTTTTCAGAAGTTGTTCGATCAAAATTCTTAATTTTCTTTGTCAAGGTATTATATCCGAGCACCACAACCTTCGAGGCTTTCGTCACCTTCCATAAACAGTTTTTTCAACCACCATCACACTGCATACCTCGAGAATCCTGGACCAAACGCATCCTTGATATCGCAACCTGAGTACGCAGGTGATGCTGCGGTGTTGCGGTTCGCAGGTGCCGCTGCTGCCGGAGGAGTTATTCTCGCCACCTTAAGTGACTGGAGCAGTCTGCATGACCATGAGTTTGCATGATGCATGACGCTCTGACATCTCTGTCTCGTTCCATGGGGCCTTTCCCGTTGCAGTGAAGCTTGAAACCCTCCCGAACTTCCCTGGCCTTAGCTCCTTTCTTCGGTCGCGTCTCCTGAAGCATTGGACTTAAGTCTCCTGAGCATCATCACCTCGGTAACCTCTTCCCTGTCAGTGACCCTTCAATTAGGGTACCAATTCTGACGAGCTTCTCTTACCGAGGTCGCTCATTTCTTTTTAGCCTTCGCATATTGAACACAGAACTTTGGCCACTTCCGAGGGAATACATTTTCAACTTTAGACATGTGTTGTGTGACGGTGATCTTTATCAGTCAGCCTGCCGACCTGAGCTTGACGCTGGCACTATCGCTGCAAGTTCTGTAGGGCATGGCTGAGCCTGGACAGGGATCGACTGCGGCTCTCAGAATAGCAGTTGATCCCTGTCCAGTAGCAGAATAACCACTCAGCTATAATAGCTGCTTAATCATTATATTTTAGATACATACAGTAGATAGATATAGATAGATATATAATATAGATATAGATACATATATACAATTATTATATTTTGAATAAAAATTGACAGCATCATTAGGTGGAGTGAAAATGCTATGTGAAAAAATATATGGAGCAGCAGCAAATCGCATAAGATTACCACAAGAGTAAAATATTAAAAGTTGGTGCGTAATACGCAAGAACTTTCCAAACTGACAATTTTTCTTCTAACAAATATGTAGAGATAGAAATAGGCCGTCAACCCACCTTTACTGCTATTTGTCCCCTTTCTTCAGTTTGATATTCTGGATAATGTTGCAGTAGAAGTTTATTGGCGGCTTCACTAATTTGCGTCTTTCCGGGTCCACTGTTGCTCTCCATGCGAGACGACATATTCACCTGAAACAAGCAACCAACTTTACTGCTAATTTGTTCAGTTTTTTATTCAAGCGCGGGTATGGGCAAGCTATGAATTAAATAATGCGAGATCGGCCACTATTGAAAAATCATGATTGTGGTCTCTCCATTTATCCTTGCTTTCTAAACTGTAGACAAACTGGCGAGAAGTTGAAGACAATGTCTGAGATCAGGCACGTTTGCCTTTATCATCCCTAACCATGCCAGATAGGTGGATGATTGTTGATGTCGTGCTCCGAGAGAGAGCGACAAAGGCGTTAGAAGTTCGCTCGACCCGCAATCCACACCTTCGTTCGCAATCCCCGCCTTCCGCTCGCATCGCAGCTGTGGCAGCATTGGCAATGCGGCTCTGTATCTCAATGTCATTAGCACTGAAGCAATTGGAGCTAAACATTCGAGAAACTCATACGAGCAGTACTTTCCATCTCTAGGTATAAGGTAGTGGTTGAAAAAAGAGGGGGCATTGGTCGGGCCGTTATCCGACACTTCTTTCACTTTCTTTTTTTCTCAGGTCACTCCGCACATGTTGCTTCATTATTGAACGCTCTTAAGCACCCCATTTGCCCCGGGGCTTGTCTTCAAAGACCAAAGTCGTGATCACTGATTGGTAGTAAAAGAGTTTACGAGTTTCTTAAAGGATGGTAGCTCTTGGAGCAGAAAACGCGCCTTAAGGTGCAGAAAGTATTTCAAGTGGATTTCCGGTTCTCAGACACGCCCACCGTCGACCCTTAAAAGGATTGATAATGACTGTGCATTTGAAATGAGACCGCAACCGCCGTGGTTCATTTTTCTTCCCAGGAGCACTTACACCAGCCATCTAATTATAATAGCAAGTGCCTATCGTTCACGACTGTCATGATGCCAGTCTCTAACTTTACCCGAACAATCTTTATATCAGACCGTGCAACCCCATGTCAGTGAATGTGAAGAAGATCGCCTTTTCGGGTTTCGACCGTTTTCTTGTTTTTTTTTTCAGGGATGCACTAAACTTTAACTTGGCGCCCCTCTACCTACACATTTCAATAGTATCAGATTATCGCAAACGCTGCCTTCAAAAAAGTACCGTGTCTCCGAAAAGACAGCGAGAGCATTGCGCCGACAACCAGCCTGCTGCGACTGGCCTGAAACAAAAGTACTTTCCACATGACATTCCACAGCGGTACTTCTGACTTCGTGAGGATTATAGTGACGGAATGGGTGAAAATGTAGTTTGGGGAGCCACCCTATCTAATCGAAGTGGAAGAGGAAAGATACTCATGTCCAATCAAAGCATACTTGCGGGAAGACGCTGCATATCTTATCATCATCTTTCGCTTAGACCGCGCTAACCACGACCATGCGTCCCCCCTGTCACTCATCCTACTTACTATAAAGCGCTTCGTCTGTCGTTCTGTCCCTCCCTCTGTCTGTCGTTCTGTCCCTCTGTCGTTCTGTATGTCTGTCACGAAATTCCCTAGCTCCTCGGGATCCGCCTGGAGGGACCGGGTCAAGTGTGGGATGGGTGGGCAAGGTCTCACGAAGTACAAAACACACATCAGCTAAGCGGAGCCCCGCCCACAGTGGGCGTGGCGTGCGTCGACATGAAGTGTACTGACGACCGAGATTTTAAGATCTCTTAGAAAACGACCTCGAAACTGGGCCAAAAAGTGGGTAAAGGTGTGCATTGGTAAGTCACATCGAATTAGGGAGACCCACCCCCGGTGGGCGGGGCGTTCTCTAAAAAAGCAGTGCTTTATGAAAAATTTCATAACTCGGTTGGGAGAAAGCCTACAGAGCAGAAAACAATTTGGTGTAAGGGAGCAATGTCTAAGGTGTTTCCTGCATACATGACGTGGGCGGAGGCCTGCCCAGAATGGGCGGGGCGCGCTCTGAAGTGTACAGCATTTTCTACAAGCCCTCATAATTCGGGTCGGGGAAGTCCTAAAGAGCCGGAAAAAGGTGGATAGAGGTGTATGGAGGAGTGGAGGCCAGCTATCAATGGTGGGCGGGGCTTGACCAAAGTGGGCGGAGTTTGCGACGAAAATTTATAACTCGGCTCCATGAAGCTCCGGAGGCTGGGGAAAAGGTGGATAGAGGTGGGTGGAGGAGTGGAGGTTAATTGTCATTGGTGGGCGGGGCCTGACCAAAGTGGGCGGAGTTTGCGACGAAAATTTATAACTCGGCTCCATGAAGCTCCGGAGGCTGGGGAAAAGGTGGATAGAGGTGGGTGGAGGAGTGGAGGTTAATTGTCATTGGTGGGCGGGGCCTGACCAAAGTGGGCGGAGTTTGCGACGAAAATTTATAACTCGGCTCCATGAAGCTCCGGAGGCTGGGGAAAAGGTGGATAGAGGTGGGTGGAGGAGTGGAGGTTAATTGTCATTGGTGGGCGGGGCCTGACCAAAGTGGGCGGAGTTTGCGACGAAAATATAAAACTCGGCTCCAAGAAGTCCCGGAGGCTGGGGAAAAGGTGGATGGAGGTGGGTGGGGGAGTGGAGGCCAGCTGTCATCGGTGGGCGGAGCTTGACCAAAGTGGGTGGAGTTTGCGACGAAAATTCAGAACTCTGTTCCAGAAGGTCCCGGAGAGTGGGGAAAAAAGAAGATATAGTTGGGTGGGAAAGTGGAGGTCAAAGGCCAGTGGTAGGCGGGGCTTGGCCAAAGTGGGCGGAGTTTGCGACGAAAATTCATGACTTGGCTCCAAGAAGTCCCTGAGGCCGCGGAAAAGGTGGATGGAGGTGGGTGGAGGAGTGGAGGCCAGCTGTCAATGGTGGGAGGGACATGACCAAAGTGGGCGGAGTTTGCGACGAAAATTCATAACTCGGCCCCAAGAAGTCCAGGAGGCTGGGAAAAAGGGAGTAGAGGTCGGCGAAGGAAAGGAGGTCAAATGCTATTAGTGGGTAGAGCACGCACCCAAGTGGGCGGAGTTTGCCAAAAGTATCGCAATTCGGTTGCAAGAGGTCCTAGAGATAGGGGAAAACGGGGTTAGAGGTTGGTGAGGGAAAAGAGCTCAACTGCTATCACTGGGTAGAGCACGCACCTAAGTGGGCGGAGTTTGCCAAAAGTGTCGTAATTTGGTTCCAAGAGGTCCCAGAGACCGGTGAAAAAGGGGGTAGAGGTCGGCGAAAAGAAGGGAGCCAAATGCTATTGGTCGGCAGGGCACGCACCGAAGTAGACGGAGTTCGCCACGAGATTTATTGTCCGGGCCGAGGACCGAGAAAAATAGGATAATGGTTGACGAAGAAAGAGCGCATAGAATTTAGCGGAGAATTCAGATATTCGTATTGTATCAAGCCAAATTTGAAATTTTTCGTCGCACCATCAAAATTCGCCACAGATCTGTGTTGCGCGCGCAATGCGTGCGGCGCCAACTGGTAATAATATGTGCCGAAAACGACTGCCTACCCGCTGACCCTTCACTTTCATCAAAACTTGCCGTGAAAGCCCTCGAAGGCAGAAGCCTTTCAGGCACTATATTTCGTACGGAATCCCTGATTGATATCCCTATCTAATCGTTCACACAGGCTTCTGATTGCTGATTAGATTAGACCACCCTGACCATCCCACTTCGATTAGATATTGCCACTTGATTAGATAATATGAGTGGCCCCTTCGAACTACATTTTCGCCGACGGAATGTACCTGTGTGGAATCCAAGACGACAAACTACCCTTTGATCAGGTTTGTGTGGAACGCAGAAGTCTGTGAGGTACTGAAAATGATTTCTCGTGAAAATCTTGGCTAAAACCAATTTTCAAAGAACACATCAGCACCTGTTGTGAATGCGCTATAAGGCTATGGCCAGCTATGTCGTTAGTGTGAGCCATTCTCTCTGTCACGCCAGAACGACCATGTAATGCGTCCGCCGATCGTCTCCACCTGAGTCATGAAGGGTATAGGAAGGAATAAGCAAGCAGTAAGTAATAAGTAAGGTAATAAGCAGTGAATATAAGAATATAAATATATATGAGCTTGCCTACTTCTTTGGGTATACTACACCAGAAGCTTCCACAGAGTGATTAGCTTGTGAAATGAAAATCATGGCAATCAGCGACACTTGTCTGTTCAAGACTATCAATAACCTCCACAGGGAAAGTTAGAGAAGAATTTTGAATTTTTTTGCGAGCAATGCAAAGTTTTATCGTGAACACTTGATGTCCACCGATCTTTTGAACTACTACCTACCTATCAGAATACCTTCCCTTTCTGCAAAAACGGCACTAAAGTGGTCGAAACGGCCAGACTATAGGTGGCCACGATGTCACGTTGACATCGCAGAGAAACGCTAGAGAAACGTTGGGAAAAACAGGAAGCTCACGTTGATCTCGCAGTCAGATAGAGGGCGAAGTCTACGCCACACTCCTTAATATCGTCAACGAAGGTGACCTGAAACCTTAGAACGGCTAATCCGCCCACAGAGAAATGGGGAGGACAATGGGGCAGCTACTAGAAATTCGGAGGGTCACGCTGACGGCCACTGGATTGTCCTCCGCATTACATCGTTTCAGTGAAGAAAAGATTCTTACTGTGGATCCAGCCTTCTACTCCCAATATGGGAGGATCTGCAGGTCCACTTGCAGATGCTACCGCTAAAGCACGACTTGGGGGCAGAGCAAAACATCCTTAACGCATTCTTGTTTGGGGAGAAGTCACCTGTACAAGAGAAATCCCACTTGTTTTCGTTGAAGCTGGCGTGAAAATCAACATGACGCAGGTTCACAAGAATATCTTGGAAAGAATTTCTTGCCACGCCGTGCGGCACTATCCCCTCTTCGAAGTGCCTACTGGCGCTCCAGCACGTTGCTGCTCTACGCTTACAAAGCGAAAGCCGTGTCCAAGATTTTTGCCACCGGCAACGCTCGACCTTCATCAGCACGAATAAGGACCCTAATACCTTTTTGGTCCGAATCTTTAAACTCCGGTCGACCGTTCTTGTAGCCTATCTTGGCAGTTAAAAGCATGCTCTAGAGTATTTAAACACTCAGACCCAACTCATCTCGATCATTACTTTCTGCCTATACCTGCTGAAGGAAGTTATGTTCTTAGCACCGTATACCACTAACCCTAAGGCGGGCTAGGGCCCTAAGCTCGCTACGTAATAAATTCGTATAGACAAAGTGTTCGGCCGCTCCCGCAGGCCATATGGTTTTTTCTGGAGCGTCGAGCTTCCCTGAATCAAAACTACAAGTTGAAATGCGCTGCGCTCACGGATGTCGGCCTTCCAGGTAACGCTTCAAATGACTAACGCACCAAAAGATCCCATATAATACATATACGGCGCAGAGGCAAACAAAACACTTTCCATATGACGAATGTATATTTGCAATAATAGATGAAATCAGACCTTATATGCGTCCCTTCTTGCAATAAACTGATCGAAACCATCAAAGACGCCATTGAGAACATTTACAACCTCTAATGGAGAGGCAGTTTTGCATAATTCGGTAAAGCCGACAATATCACTGAAATATTTGAAGAGATGCGAGAATTCGGAAATGACTGAATAGGATGAAACTTTTGAATCGAACTGTCGAATCGAAAGTGCACAATGCCTGAAAATCTCACCTGAAAAGTATAGTTGCTGATGAATACGACTTTGGTGGGACAGATTTTCCCAGCTTGAGCTCACTAGCAACACACCTGACGCAAGAAAGATTGTATAAAGTTGCAGATAACACACAAGGTACCAGAAATCATATCTGCAGTCTGGTTAGTCAGATTAAAGACTGAAATAACTTACGCCGGTAGTAGCTGACATAGTAGCTTATCGGCTCTGATGTTTGCTTCTTCTAACATTCCAGTTCGCTCCTGCACGAGTTTCTCGAGATTGTTCGCGTACTGCAATTTGAAGGGACTGTTTTCAAAGTAACTAGAGTGATTTATTGGTGGTTTGTGCAGTCATTGTGATTTTTGTCGCTTTTCGAAAGTGAACTAGTCTACGTTGTTGTTATCACGCTTCGTACTGTTCGCGGAACTTCAGAAAAGGACTAGCCAGCAGAATTGTATAAAGAGTCGATTTAGTTCCATGAACCAAAGTTGGTTAGGAAACCACTGCCTGCCAAATGGCTTCTCCAGGACACATAACATTATTCTTAGAATGATTCCAACAGCATAATCTCTTAAGATATACGCGGGGACATGGCATCTTGACATCCCTTTGTAACATGTGTGAGCGCTGATGATCAGGTAACAAAGTATTCAGTTCAAATCATTGCAGAAAAACAGAAAAGGCCATGAGAAAGGAGCTGAGCTTCTGCGGTCTTGTGGTTCTTGGACATGCGGGTGTTCTGGACATTTAACTTTATATTTAGGTTTAACAAATTTTTCCCCGTGAAACGTGACACTGGCATGTTGTGCGAATGTGGAAATACTGCAATTTTCGTGCCATATACAATTCATTATGGAAATTATGACCCTTCCCTTAGGTGACGAGTGCTCTCATTGTCAGAAGATAACCTGCGAATCAAACCTACGAGCACTCTCTCGTGGTTTTGCAACATCCTTATGATGACCTGTACTGTGTTTCCGTTCCTATTTTGCTTTCCTATCCAGGTCTTGGAAGTGGCAAGCACGTTGATATTGTGTGATGGTACGTATATGAAATTTATATTTTGCCCAAAACGCCTACCTGTTCCATCATGCGCATCATCTGATCAACGAGACTTCCGCGCCTGTAAAGAAAAAGTGATAACAGCATGCATAAGCATATAGCAGAATTTTCCGTCCCTTTTTGAAAGTGAACTAATCTTTCAATGTGGCAAAAACAAAATTTGTTATCTGCAAACCTGACATTATTCTTTTAGTGATTTTATTATTTTCAATATAATTATTATTTATTTTGCTCATTTTGTATTTGTGCGCGTGAATTTCTTACTCTTTCCAAGTTCTCACAAGTGTCACCATGCTCTTTTTCGAGCAGTGTCTCAACGGCTTTTGGAATGCCAGCCACTCAGTTCTTCGGTCACCCAGTTTTGTTTGAAATTCCTTTTTTAATGCGGTCGTTATGGATTTGTTTATCTAGGCTCCGTTCTTGTTTGCTGATACTCTCCTCTCAATGATATCCACCGATTATATCCTGACGTCAACAGTTAGAGGCCTGGAGTGTCCGATATTAACCCTTTCGGCCCTGGCGGTGGCAATTGCCACCATCAAATTCAAATGCTGCATTGCCGCTGCAACAGCATATTTCTACTACCCACTGCTAGAGGTTACTTCAGACGACCTTCCCCTTCCTAATTATGCTTTGAACCTGCCATTTTATTGTGTGTTGCTGTTAGCATTACAAGTATTTGTGTACAAGTGCAACAATGAATCGGCGCTGGTCCCAGCAAGCCTCTAGGTCAATCATTTCTAAAATACTTGAGATAAATTCAAATACTTAACAAAAACGTCAGGTACAATTTGTGCCTTTAAGTAGTGCCTTCAATTTGCACCTTTGAGTTTCGGACGAGATGAGTGGTTTTTTAGTAGTGCAGGATTATGAACGTTCTTCGAGCATAACTAAGAAATTTGGAATTGTTTCGACATAAGCTTAAAAACTAAGAAGGTGGGCCAATTTTCAAAGCTTCCTAGTTTCTTTGTTTGTGATCGAATAGCTTCCAAATTTCGCCATAATGATACTTATATGCTCACAAGTAATAAACAATAGCTAGAAGAAAAATTTCTCCACGGAAAAATTCAGGTCCGAAAGGGTTAATGAGTGAACGCACTACAAAACCTTTTATCTCATCCGAAACTCAAAGGTACAAATTGGTTGCTCAGGCAGAGAACTTGAGACTTTACCCTCGCCTTCAAATAACCAGAAATTGTGCAATTGCAGAAATTGACGTGGCATTAACGTGGCATCGATTCAAGAACATCTTTGAGCATACGTGATTTAGCCTTGTGGCACGTGGCTAAATTCTCGATGAAAAGGTGACATCACGTGTGCTCAAAGATGTTCTTGAATCGATGCCACGTTAATGACATGCCAATTTCTGCTAATTGGCAGCAAATCTTTTTTTTTTTTTTTTTTTTTCTAGTCATTTGAAGGCGAGGCACTCGTCTCGGGTGCGAGATAAGAGTCCCCGTGTCGACCGCGACAAAGCGAAAGTAGGTCACTTACAGGTTGAACGTGGCTATTAGCTAGGACTGAAGCAAAACAAATGCAGAAATGGGGACTAGCCAGACAGAACAAGTACTGTGTTGTATCAAGAGAGGCGGATTCTGAACTTGGCCAATTGCCATGTTTCAGACTGCAGAAACGCCGGCGACGTCGCGCGCAATGATCTAGTTTTAGCGGCGGCGGGCGCGGGGGAGTTGAAGGAAGCCTGGCGGAGTGGCAGAATACTAGTTTGAAACCGAATAATGCAGAAAACAGCTGATTCGGCCGTCAATACTCTGCGACATCCAGACGGAAGAGCACCCTAGTGACTGTAGCCATGGAGGAGAATTAGAGAAAGCAGAGACAAGGAGGCAGTGTTTTTGCACAATTGACACAGACATTTCACGGCAAACTTCCATAGGCACGCAACCGCCGACGCGCTCGCAATGTAGTCCGCAGCCCCGCCCTCCCCGACTTCGAGATATGGACTGTACACAGCGTGAAATACAAAATATAAGTACTTGGTCTAAAAGTACGAAAGCAACAATGACTCACACTTTCAGGTATGTCTCTACGTTCAGCTTGATTCTTCGCACACTGGGTCTCATTTCGGGACTTGTGTTCCAACAATCTAATATGAGACTGGTTAGATCCATGTTCAAAACCTGAAAGGAAGTGGTTTCAAACGTGGGCTTGGCATAGTTAGCGCCACAACAAGTAATTAAGTCACAGCCCACCTTATTAGTTTGGATTTGAGGTTTGACGACCTTGCTTCCATCCTTGATGGATTCGAGACGAGCGCTGCAAAATAGCACGAATCTGCTCCTATATATGGGGCAAGGATTGAAAGCAGATAATTGATGCATATATAATAAAGTAAACAAGTCTAACATACTTTACAAACTTCTGTTTGTGAAGCCACTGCAAAGATCACGTACGCTTTTGGACGGCGAAGAAATGAAAAAATGCAAGGCTAGCGTAATACGCTCCTTGATAGAAACGAACGCTGATTTTCCACTATTTTTGCTGCATGTTTGTTGAGAGTATACTGTGGGCAGTACATACAAAAAATTCGGTGCATACATTAATCACAGCTAAGCAGTAATTAAGAAACGCCCACGCCATGCTGTCTGTTAGTGGTCAGGAAGAACGGTAGTGCTGAAACGCAAAATGATTCTCGTACATGAATGAAGCCGAACCGTAATATGTCTCCGACTGTCCTTCGCTACTTAAAAATGTTGATGTATATCGTAGTTATCTGACTGTTATCAAAGAATTGGTTAATCTCGTGGATTCAAAGCCAGAATGCTGTTGTAGGGGATCAGCGCTCACTAGTTGATGCAGCTTCATCAATATTAGATCTCAATGTCCAATATAAAAAAAAATTGGTAGGAGGGTTAAGTACGATCAAAGGCAGCGCTGCCTGGCCAGAGGATCAGCCACGATCTTCTGAATTAAAGGGTCATGGCAATGTGTACAAGAGAATCTGTAGTTCCCCAATCAATAAACCTCGGCGTAACTTGCTTGTGCTTCATTGCTCTTCTAAGTTACCCTCTCCCTGCCAACAATGTTCTCATCTGATAGGTGTTCAGATACGATTTCATTCAGCAAGGTCGTCCACAGTAGCTTCTTTCAATGTATTATATTTTGTGCAGCGCTGCTCCAACCCAGTTGAGTTTTCTTCGTGAATTCCCCCCTCCAAATCTCTACGCCATCTGCGAGCAAGTAATAGGAAGATATTGTTGCTCAGGTTCCACGCCTACTCGAACGTCTTACGCGAACGCTGATGACGCTCGGATTCCCAGGTGAAGTTAAAACTATTACGCAGACGCTCAAAAATGCATTCGAGGTTTTTCCAAGAAAAAATGAGATATCTCTGAGTGGAATGGGACGCCCTTGAAAAGGCGCAGCAAAGATCTCTCTTTCAAATTTCAAGTAAAAGTCTGCTCTGGATTTGAGCACAGCCGGGCCGCGACCAAGGAAAAATGGATATCAACATTTCGACATACTTTATAACTAAAAACAGTTGACGTCGCACGCTATTGGTGCACCCCCTCCCCAACTTAGTGTGTGATATGGATTGATGCTGTCGGAATTTTCCAAATTAACCGGATCGACCACGAAGATTCGACTTCTCATTTCAGATCAGATTCTACAAGCTCTCCTCGGTCTCCGTGACATTTCTGGACGGCACGGCAATTTCGGATTTTGAAGAAATAAATGTGACTTTCTCTCACTCACTATAAGCTATTAACTTGACTCTTAAGTCCTTGTTCACTTTGGTGAATGCTTCGCCCACAAATAGATGTTGCATTTTTTCCTTCGTCAATCTCTACCCACTTTTTTTCCCGATTTCTAGGACGTCTTTGGCAACCGGAGCTGTAATCTGCTCTCAATCCGCCAAATTTTAAATGCACTCCCAGACCACACCAAAAAATTTGTCCTTTCCTCCTTCATTAACCTCTGCCCACCTTTTTTCCTTCTATAAGACTTCTCGTTACCGGATTATGAGGGCGTGTAGAGAACGCTGTCCACTCAAAGACACACGCCGCCCATTGTGGGCGAACCCCCGCTGAAACACCTCAGGCTTTCCTATATCAGTTTTGCTGCTCTGTAGGCTTTCTCTGAGCCGATTTATGAATTTTTTATTAAGGACCGCTTTTCTGAGAAACGCCCCGTCCAGGTTGCTTCCCCTAATTCGATCTGGCTTAACAATACAGACTTTTACATTTTTCCTTCCGATCTTCCGGAAATCAGATTTGAACTTCGTCATTAGTACCGCTCATTTCGATGCGCACCACATTCGATATCGGCGGTACTCTGTACGATTAGCTGTTGTGAGTTTTGTACTTCTTTGGACATGTAGCACGCCGCCTACTTCCCCCCCCCCTGTCCATCACACACCACAAATTCTTTCTTGACGAGACACGTGACAAGTGAGCAAACGAGGCACTTCACAGTAAGAAGGTGGTTTGCCGAAGCTTACAATTTCAAAAAATGATTAACCTGCGATTGTTTCATCCACTCTTGATCCATTCTCCGTAGACGGTTCTTTTCTCGATTCTTTAACAGCTCAGGTGCTTCATATACAGTACGCCTCAAAAAGAACAGTCAGGTGGAAGAGTTTTTGAACATCCATAATCTACATTTTGATTTTGAAATAGAAAAACCATTCCGTGAAATTTCACCACAGTTTCAACACAAATTCTCTGAAAAATTATGAAAAACAGTTTAGCGAGTGCGAAAGCAGCACAGTACCAGGTTGCGCTAGCTACCTCCTTGAGCTAATGGCGAGCTTGAACTCCGTGGCAGGAGGACAACCTCTCGTTCAACGTAAACGTGATTGTTTCCTTATCTCTTGTGGCTTCCTCAGTAAAATGAATTGATTCGCACAAAAATTACGCCCATTCGTATGCTAAGAAATTGGTGTGATTTCTTCTGCGTTCTCTCCTGAATGCAGTCGTACCAGTCGTTGTATGATTGGATAACAAGAACGTTTCACACCCAAAGCATAACTTGTAAAATATTCGCAAGGCGACTGCGGCCAAAAAACAGCAGTTCAATCAAAAACAGGACAACAAGAAAGGTTCTCAAATAAGAAAGTTTCGTTGTTTCAGAAAAATTCACAGTTGATACTAGTACGATAGCAAGGTGACAGATCAAGCTTCACTGGAAATGTCCAGCTTGGTTCAAAATTTGGTCATACCGTGCGCTACATGATTGAAGAAGTTTGGTCATTTGAAAGTGCCTAACGTGGTTGCACTCATTCACATATGTATATACTACAGCGCTCGTAGCATTGTTAAGAACATCCAAATTCTGCCCCCTATTCTCGTCAGGTTAACCCTTTTGACGACAATGCGGATTTGCACGTAGCGTGCTCGTGGGACCACGCCTCTCTTTTGGCGCGGCCAACTCTCGCACAAAATGGGGCAAAATTGTCTCTAAAAGCAGTTTTTCTATCAAAATTTTGACTATGACAATAAATAAAATAAATAAATAAAATATGACTGCAGTCTCAAGTTTTATGATCATGTATTGCTGGAATTAGAAGAGCAAGTTTGGAAAGAAATTTCGGATTTCAAAGGGAATGGTGTTTGAAAACCTACAAGAAATTCAAATGTACAGTAGAATTTTTATATAGTTCAAACTCCTCCTTGTGTCTTAAGACTGTGAAAAGACGTAGAGGTCCTGATCTGTAATTCACCTTAAGCTTAATAATGTAAAACACTAATTAATACATCGCCGAGCGAAGTGCCATATCCTAAAACTTCATATAAATTAGCTAGTAACAAACATTTCTGCAAAATATGCTAAACATAGGCGTAACGGAGCTTGCTTATAATTACTGATATGTTGAAAATGTTTTAAATGGGTAAAGAAGAAAATTTTAGGGTGGCACCCACCACTTGGGTGCCATTGTCCCACGCGACGGTCATAGTGGCACCCACCGGTGGGTGCCATTGTCGCCAAAGGGTTAAAGCACTTGCAGCTGCCACATTTGTGCTGCCTTATCTCCCTTTATTTTGTAACGGCCTTCATATCCGCTAATCAAATCCACTCGTCGATATGATAAATACAATACTGCATATATACTGTTTCGTAATAACTTCGTATAGCATACATTATAAAGCCTTGCTATGAGTTACACAAAACCTTGACTAATTCTGTCCGCTCGCCGCACCGCACATGAGAACCCACGACCTACATACGTCTTTTTGTGTCTTCGTTCTTACAAGAAAGGTCGTTCAGGGTGTGCCAAGCTACTTGCGAATTGTTTCTTGCACGACAATGGGGCACATATGGGGACCACAGAAGCATGGTTCATTTTTCCTGAACGGCCCTCTGAATACCAGAAAAGGGGTCCCTAGTTCGATTCCTCGTGGTGACAAATTTTTGCATTTCGTGTTGACGTTTCAAAATTCGCGCAAAATGGAGTTAGCATGAATAATTAGTACCATTCATGATTAGGACCGTCAGTAACCCTTACAATAGACTTTGATTGAAAAACTGGTGAAAAAGGTGTGACTAGGGACCCCCTTTTCTGGTATTCAGAGGGCCGTTCAGGAAAAATTAACCATGGTTCTGTGGTTCCCGCATGTGCCCCTATATCATGCAAAAGACCGTTTTGAAAAAGCTTGGCACCCTGAACGACCTCCCTTGTTAGCCGAACTGCCATGCTCGGCGTTGCAGCAACACATGACTGCGCATTAGATACTTACAGAATCTTGCCGCTTGTAGGTCTTTAGGGTCTTTCATTAAACGTACTTATTGCTTGCTTCGCTTGAGATTTGTCCTCGCTGTTTTCGAGTTCTGTCACAGAAATCGCTTGTTGTTTCTCCCAGCGTTCTAGAGCATCCGATATCCCTGTAAACATCGATTCATAGCACACTCACATGTTTACTGCTTGAGAAAAATAGTAATTACCGTAATCTGTAAGTTTGATCATCCAGTTTCTGTCTATTAGACAAGACCACGTTGAGAGAGCTCCGTGATACCGATACTCGACGAGTGAAGGTACTCCAGTCCTGCGAGTATGTCGCGAATGAATGCGCCGTGAAACTTCTGATCAGCGATTTATTGTTGTCGGTTGTCTAATAATATCTTGTAGGCTTTCCTTCTGACATGTAATTCTCTTTCTGGCAGAAGACTATGAAAAACACTCCTATATATATATACAGGGGGGCCAATAAAAAAAGACATTTTGTCTCCACTTTCAGATGGATTTAAGCACACTTTGCTCAATTGAGACCGAGTGTTCCCAACTTAATATTGAAGAGCACATTTCATTCTATAAGAAAATCTTCATGTTGGCCACCCACGTGGACGGCAACAGAAGAATTTGCCCTGGAAACATGGTGCACTGGTCGAGCTCAATGGGGTCTTCGAAGGATTCTGTACCATAACGACCGTTTACTGTATAGTGGTAGCTAATGCCTCTAGAAAACTATCCAACATTAAATCGATTCACGAAATTGCGTAAGAGCTTCAGGCTGAAGCACTTACAGTAGACCTCCTTGAGCCTGACGACGGTGACAGATGACGTCATATTCTGAAGACGGTGAGGGCAGTGAAGGAGGGCCTGCGTTCACTTATAGAGGGACACTTAGGGACTACTCTGCTGAGGAACTCATCGTAATAAGGGCCGAAGTCCCGACATAGTGCAAAATGTCTTTTTTTTTTGGCCCGCCGCCCCCCCTGTATGCAGCACTGGTACAACGGTATCTGCAGGCTAGAAAAACCTGGCCGGAAGGTTCAGCAGATTCACGACTCGTGAAGTCAGAACTGTGCCTGCTTGCGAGCCGAACTTTGCGTAGATCTCTTTCAAAAATCCCTAAGTCATTGAATTATGAATTGCTAATGTAATGTTCAAACGCAGTCAGACGGTAGCCAATGAACTACGTCTAGCGATCATTATTGGATGACACTCATTCTACAGTGCGTTTCAAAAGTATGTGCACACCCTCAAAATTCACGTTTGAAAGGGAACCATGAGGTTTCGTGCTATGAAATCCTTCTCAATCGATTTTCTCGTAGTCGATAACCTATCAATGGAAGCAAAGCAGATAATATCGCCTCACTTTCGAAAAAAATTTTTGGATGAATTTTTTTCTTTGTTTCAAAAGTATGTGCACACTTAACAAAAGACAAAAACATAGCTGAGATTAGAAATCAGTGGGGCCTCCAGAGTTTCTAATTAGCTCAAACATCCTGTCCGGCATAATCTGAACCACGTTTGGCATAGCTGTTTCGTCGCTGTCGGCCCAAATAGCCTCTACCGCCGCCTTCAGTTCATCCGCGGTATTATACTGCCGGTTGCTAAAGTTAACGCCTTGATCAAGGGCTCCCTATAGGGTTGCAGTAAGGAGGACACACAAGCCAATCTATCGCTTCAGCACCATTTGGTTAAGGCCATTCTTTGGTAGATTGCGAAGCATCGAAAGACACGTGGTCCTGTTGCTAAAAATGCAATTTTCGCTCCGCTTCGCTAAGAAAGGGCAACAGGTGACATTGGAGCACTGCTTGGTATTCTTTACAGTTCATACGCAATAATGGAACGGCAACTTCTGAATTTCCTCTGATTGCGAAACCGCCGCAGACCCATCAACGGGCCTCTTCCGAAATTCCTTCTCGAGAGCACGAAGCGACTCACGGCCAAGCCTCTCGAAGGGAACCATGAGGTTTCGTGCTATGAAATCCTTCTCAATCGATTTCTCGTAGTCGATAACCTATCAATGGAAGCAAAGCAGATAATATCGCCTCACTTTCGGAAAAATTTTTTGGATGAAATTTTTTTCTTTGTTTCAAAAGTATGTGCACACTTGAAGAAGATCAGATTTTGGCGCCGAATTTTCCACCGATTTCAATCCGACTTTGCTGTTTTCATTTCGTCATCATGTCAATTCGCGCCATACTTCTTCCTGAAGATGAGCAAGCTCAGATCAAGGTTCTGCATGATAATGAACGTTCCAATCTAGAAATCGCACGATAACTTGGTCGTTCTCCTTAATGCATTCGAAGATTTATCTGGCACCCTGATAATTATACTCAGCACACACTCCGCTCCATCCACGATCCTTGACTGCTCAGAACAACAAAAGAGTAGCCCACATCCTGTCGGATTCTTCATTGACAGTCCGAGCTCAGATTTTTATTCCAGCCTCGAAAATGACCACTAAGCCCCTCATCCGCTCAAATGAATACACCACTCGACAGACGCTGAGAAAGGCTACTCACTTCAAGGCCCAGCACAAGTTAGCCACATTGGAGTCTGCTCGTACAGACATGGCAACATAGGATAGGACACCGGGCGAAGACACGGTTTTTCGAGAATTTCCTATTTTCAAAACAAGCAACTTTTTATGGACTTTCTCTCCTCAGGTAATCTTAACTCATGGAAAGAGTTCGATCTTGACGGGCCGGGTGGATTTTGCTACTACTGGAGAGGCTTGGCCGTGAGTCGCTCGTGCTCTCGAGAAGGAATTTCGGAAGAGGCGCGTTGATTGGTCTTCGG